TCCCAACCGCGACATCGCCGACCTCGTCGTGAACGCTGGTGCGGGAGCGCTTCTCCTCGCGCAGCGTGAGTGCAGGGTCGGCCGAGAGGGGCCGGCGCTTGGCGGCTGGCCTCTGGCTCTGGTTAGCGGGCTGCTGGGCCATGCTGTGCTTGGTGAAGGCATCGGAGATACGAGCTGTCATCTTATCCACGGCGTACGCGGCCATGTCGACGGCCCAGCTCTTCTTGTGGCGGCAATCTTCACAGTTGCCACCGCAAGTCCGCAGATCCCACTCGTGATCGCACAGGTGACCCGACTTATATTCGATGCCACGATCTCGAAGGCATTGCTTCACCCCGTGCGCTACTGCTACTGAACGGTGTCTACCCGAACGACATACCAAGATGATCGCGACGGATTCGGTGACCTTGCACTTCGCCAGCGCCTTGCCGATGCATTCAGCGATGTCTGGGAAGTGCTCGTTATCAGCTGCGGCCTTTAAGATACGAGGGTGAACTCCAATGTGGTTGGTGGACTGAGGATCTTTCAGCTCCCGAGTGTCAACAAATATGAGCCAATCTAAATCGCCATGTTCTAGGCGTGCGGCTATCAAGGCTTCGCAGAGAATTTGACCACCATGCCCAGACGTAGACATCCCATAACTCTTGCCACGGTGCTTGTCGCGGAGGTGCTCCGTCAACAGCTGGCCCCCCGAGGCATCAGGATGACTCTCGAAGTTCTCTAGGCCCATCGTGTAGACAGCGAAAGACTTGGCGCATGGCCCTGCGCTGGGAGCAGCATCAGGCCTCTTGTCCTTGTGCAGACCCATGGCTGAGAACTTGCCGTGCTCGTCGTCGCTATGATCCAAAACGGTCTGACGCTGGGGGTCGGTATCGCCGATATCCCCCATGTTGCTCTATGCCTGATATGATATGTGCAAAGGGCGAATAGACCAGGAAATCCGATCCGAATCGAACTGATCGAGACGAATGACAAGGAGACCTGAGCGGCTGCAGCGACACATCTCTATCTCGCCTTCCTGGTCCAGGATGGCGCGTCCGTTGGCGAGATCCTTGACGAGACCGAGGGAGACTTGTGCCGGTAGCGACAGCAAGAAAGGCACATGATCTGAACCCTTCAACTGATGAGACTCGAAGCAGCCGCTGACAGCACAGCACGTACCCACAATGCGATCGGGAAAACACTTCTTGCCCGTCGTGGAACTGCCAGCCTGACCACCAATGCCACTGTACGATTTCCGCTCTCTGTGGACCCATTGTGGAAAGAACCCTAGCTTCTCGTTCTTGTCCTCTGCATTGAGGGCCCAAGCTTTTCCATGACAACAAGAATTGCAACCTTCGTCCAGGGTAGCCCATGCACCATCATCCTTGAAGACGTCAACCAAACGAAGCTTTGATATCGCCGACGTGTCGGTCGTTACTGAAGGTGCTGGTGTTGGTGCCATGAACGCGATGAGCTCATTATCTGCTGCCTCTTGCACACAGTCGTGTAGTAATGAAACCATCTAACTTGTGCTGATATCACCTGTGTCCTGACAGATCGACATAGCGCGCCTCATGAACATCTCCATTACAACCTTCAGCTCCTCAGGAGATACACGGCGGTCACCCTCGATGACCTTCTCGATCGCCTCCGCCTGGAGGTTAGAAGAGAGTTTGACCTTCTCCGCCGTGCTCTCCTTGTCCTCAGCGAGTGCACGGGGCTGTTCGTCGATGTACGTCAAGCACTTGCAGCAGAACGTGCGATGAATGTCGGCAGTGCTACCCCGGTGGCCCACGAGATCGTGAGGACACTCATCCGGCTGATGTAGTGCCTCGTATCTCTCCTTCTTGGTCTTGTGACCGCAGTCCCTGCAGGTGCGGGCGATAAAGTGTGCCGATGAACCAGACCCCGAGAAGCTGGTGCAACCACGAGCACAGGGGTGAGGCAGCGGCGGATCCGGCGGCTTCCTGCTCGAAGTCCCGCTGGAGCTAGCCGAGGGCATGGCGCTCCCCTCGGTGCGGCGGCCGATGCTACCATCCTCCTTCTGGACAAAGTACTCCAAGAAGTTCTTCAGCTCCAAACTCGGCTTCTTCACGCCGCGTCTCCACGATGCATATTCTGGGGTCATCTTCAGCACTCGGCCATAGGAAAGCCCACGATGCTGGCCTGTAGCGAACACCGTATCGTGCCCTGGAGCAGGGGCCAAATCTGGCGTCTCGAACTCCTCATCCGATACAGAAGCCATCGAAAAGTTCCCTGGCCCGTCGGAGGCGTCGGTCGCCCTCGAGGCGGCGCTCGGGGCAGCAGCCCTCGAGGTCGAGGGTCTGCCTGGCGCGGCCTTGCTAGGCGCACGCAGGGCCATGAACCCGAAGTGCTCCTCGCCAGCCTCCGCTGAGGTCTGGGGGCTCTCCAGAGTCGCGGCCGCGCGCTCGCGCTCGGGGCTGGTTTGGGCCAAAGCAGCAGCGGTCCCCATGCAACCCCTGCACGTGTGCTCCTCTTCATGACCAGACAGCAAGCAACAATGACCATCGCAATCCTTTCCCTCACAAGAACATGCCCTGCGACACTTCGAGGAGTGAGGGGAGAAGGAAGAGCAAAAGGAAACCTTGCCCGAATGCGACATATTGCTACTATAAGTATGATGATGGATGGTGGATGATAAGGCAATGGTTCCTGTAGGCGCGAACTGATGATCGTCGCCTTCCTCGCGTGACTGAAGCTCTCGCTCTCCAGTGAACGCTACAAAGCCCGTCCTGGGTTTGCCCTTGCACTCAGGGTCCCCGGACCAGTGGCCAATCTCATGGCAGGTCTTGCACTTGGAACGCTTCTTGATCTCATGGAGTCGCATTTTACGATCTTCCAGGGTCGGCGCTCCCTTGCCACCGCCCTTGGGCGGCAGTGTAGTTCTCCAAGGTGTTGAGTTGTTGTGACCCTTGCCTTTGCTTTTACCTTTACGACCTCCCTTGGTGCCTAGGTTGGCGACCAGGTTCTCTTGGATTACTTCGGAAGCTTCGTCCTCCGTGTAGCCCGCTTTGACCATCTCGTCAAACACGTCTCCATCGAGCTCGCTCTCCTCCTGCACGGGTGACCAGAGAGCGTGCGATTCCTCGTCGCCCCAAGTTTGGTCCTCCGTCTGCCCGTCTGCCATCCAGGCTATGTCGGTCCAGGTCGTGTCGCCCCAGCCGTACTCTGGAGTGTAGCCAGACGCGTAGTATCCATGGGGACTAAGCTCCTCTGGATAGTGCTCCCCCTGCTCGTACCAACCGTCTTCGGTGGCGTGGAAGGCCTGGGGCGGCCTGCTGTACCGGGTATTGCCTTTTGCCCTTGCTCCTGCTAGGGTAGCCGGGCCGATACTGTGTCCACGACGAGGGGTTGGAGCCCTTACTCGACGGGTCTCCACCTTTGCCCTTTTGGCGGATGTGGATACGGCCGTGCTGGAGGATCAAGACATCCTTGATCTTGTCAAAGGTGGTCATGTTACCTGTGGATGTCAGCACCATCAGGTTTTCCGAGGGTGAAAGCCCTGCATGGTCCAAGAGGAGGGATCCAAGCATGTCGTCACTCAGCACAAGCTTCGGGTCCAACTTGGTGACGAGTTTCCACCAACGCTTCCTGCCGGAGATGTATGATACCATCGATTCACCGTTCTGCCTGGACAGAGGGCCGTAGGGCCTCTGACCTACCTGGAACAGGATCTTGGCTTCCTGAGCCTCTATAGGGAAGAGTGAAGCACGAATCGCCGTTATCAGCTGGTCGATTCCTTTGGGAGTCAGAAGCGCGTCCTTACCGATATCCATGGCCATATCGAACGCGTCGCCTCTGAGGCCTTCTACAACTTTGTTGACGGCTGCGGTGACAACATGTGCCTGGGGTTCTCCTGTCTCTGCATCAACAGCAGACAAAGCAGCACTCATACGAATCTCTGTGCGGAACTCCCATTCGTGAAAGTTGTTCACGGTGCCATCATAGATGTAGGAGCCACCCTTCGTCTCCGACTGAGTCAACGCGTCGGCGTTCGACCGATAGCGAAGGGAAGACAGCGCCATGGCGGCAAGGAAGCAATCCCCTCGTAAGGGTGGATGCCCAGTGCAAAGAAAAGGTGAGGAGCTCTCCTCGCGAGAGGACGAGCCCTGCGCAGTGGTACGATGCCGAAGATCGTGTAGCAGCTCCGCTGCCAGTGTGATTGATGATACGTTTCCAAGCCAAGGCAAAAAGGGGCCCCTAAGAGCCAAGCGGCGGCGAGTGGCGTACGAGCGTGTCATACACACACTATATATCACAGACAACGTTCGGTATCGCTCAAAATTCGCATGCCCACAGGACGACACGGAATCGGGGCGAGAGACGGAAGTGGAGAGGGAAGCCGTGCCTCCAGCGCGAACCTTATACAAAATCCTCACACCCCATAGTATCGCAGCACATCGGGACAGGAGGAGCGAGGAGGCGGCGAGGAGGGGGAAGAGACGGCCCGTGGACTGAGAAATTGGCCACGTAGGGCACCGACCATGTCGCAGGCGGCAGAGGCGGCAGGAGCTCCGCCGTCGGGCCCGCGGGAGGCACGCCCTCATTGTACGGAGACGTCCAGCTTGACAGCTTCGACAAGATGCTCTCTCGCACAGCCGGGGATCCCGAGATATGGATTTTGCCAGATTTCTTCATCCATATGTGGACGGCCCCGTGCTTCTTTGCCATCTGGAGGAGGAGGCCAATCGGAGGTTTCTTGGTCTTCTTGCAGTCCTTGGGCAGGTGGTGCCACTCTCGGGTCGGGCGAAAGGGGGGGATAGCAGAGGGGGGGTTTGAGAATCAGCTCACGTAGCTGATTTTCCCGGCGCCTCCCGGCGCCGGAGGCGGCTATGTATCGAGGAATGGGCCCCTCGGTGGGCCGAAACCAGCTGCATGCAGCAAATTTCGTAACCCCCCCTTTCCCAATCCCCCCCTTTCGCCCGGCCCGACACTCCATCCCCCTCCTGAGGAGAGGATCCCCCGCCGGGACTGTCGAGGCCCAGTAGAGGACGATCCTGTCAGACGACAAACTGCCGTCCGGCAGGAGGCGAAGGAACCGATCGTACCGCTTCTCCTCCTCCTGGCCGGCGCCCTGCCCACCGACCTCGCCCCCCTGCCCGCAGATCCGAGCGAACTCGGGGAAGAGGGGGTCCACCAAGCCCGCCGTCTCCGCCTGGTGAGCATCCTGGGGAAAGCCCGCGCCTGCGCTGCCGATGCAGGGGGTATCAGGAGCGCTGCTAGGGGGCGCCTGCTGGACTTTTCCGGGCTGCGCCGCCCAAGACGCCGCGGCCACCTGGTGCGCCAGCCGGGCGTAGTCCTCTGCGCTCCAGGTCGCCGCGTGCGGAGTCGCAGCTGCCCCGTGGCCGGGGGCTTCGTACCCCCCCGTAGGGCGGCCTCCTTGGAGGGGCCACTCCAGAGGCGAAGGCGCCGCGGCTGCACCACCACCCGCGCCTCCGGTGTCCAGCTCCGCTGCCGCCAAAGAGCCCCGCTGCATGGGCTGTGGCGCCGCGGCAGCGCCGTGGCTGGACGAAGCCGTGAGGACGCGCAGCCTTTTCCACGGGGCCTCGCCCTGGCCGTCGTCCGCAACTTCGCGCCCCACCGCGCCCGGTGTCACACCTGCCTGCGTCGCTTCTCACTGGGCCCAGCAAGTGCGGCAGTACGCCTCCGCGGAGTGCGCTCCCTGGCCGAGGACAAGCTCACAGCCCTTGGCCCCGCAGCCGAAGCAAACGCAGACCTCTGGACTACAGCTGGCCTCGAAGTCCTGGCCGGCTCGGGAAGCCCCCGTCTGAGGCTGGGTTGCTGCTCTCCGGGACTGGCGCCGGCGTTCCCTGGCCACTGCAGCTGCGCCTGGCCCGGGGGCGGGCCTCCCTGGGATGCTGCTTCCACCCATTCCTTCTTCTGCTCGTTGGGGAGGAGCGCCCACTGCCTCTTGACAGCGTGGGCGAAGAGGATTTTGGCGCAGGGCCCTCCGGAGGCCTAGTTTTTCTCCTCGGTATTGGCCGCCGCCCTGAGCGACAGGCGCAAGTGGGACCGCGCCGCCATCCAGTAGTCCAGGACTTTCTGGCTCACCTTGGGCACGTCGTCGCTCGCCGCCATCGATTGGGCCGTGCGCGCTGGGATCGAAGACGGCCGCTGGGAACCTGTGTAGCTAGAGGTCGCGGTGGCTGCGGAAGAGGGGGTGGCGAAGCAGGAGAGGCAGGCTGGCCCAGGCGAACTATCTCCGACGCTCCATCTCAGACCGCGGGCCCCAAAGGCAGGAGACGCCTGGGGGCTCATGGAGACACGATGCGGGAGTAGACGCCGGGCGAGGCAGAAGCAGCCGAGAGAGATAATCGGAGCGAGAGGCTCCAGCCCAACCCAACATCCTCAGGCCGCCCAACCCTCCCCAAGCCCAGCCCAGCGCAACCCAGGTCCGTCCTCGACTGAGGAGGGCAGAGGAGGAGGGAGGGAGGGGAAGTGAGCCCCATCCAGCCCACCCCATCCCAACCCAGACCCTGCCTCGGCAGAGGAAGGGGGGGGACGGAGAGAGGGAGAACGGAGGCCCAGCCCAGCCCAGCCCAGCCCAACCCAGCCCAGGGACTGGGAGAGGGAGAGAGGGAGGGAGGGAGGAGGGAGGGAGGGAGGGGGAGGGAGGGAGGGAGGGAGGGAGGGAGGGAGGAGGGAGGAGGAGGAGGAGGAGGAGGAGGAGGAGGAGGAGGAGGGGCAGGGGCGGAGGGAAGAGGAGGGAGGGAGGCACCTGGGTTTGCCCCTGCCCATGAGGCGTCGATGCGTCCAGGCCCCAGGGTGGGCGGGCGGCGAAGTCACGCCTGCGGCCCTGGAAGCATGGGACTCGGCAGCGGCGCCGGGGAGCGGAGGGAGGAGGGTAGGAGGCGGGGCAGCAGTGGGAGCGAAATCAGGGGGGGGGGGGCAGGGGAGAGGGGGGGAGCCATGATGGAGGAGGTAAGAGGGCGGCACACGAGGAGGAATGCGAAGGACTGCGATGGAATGAGTGGGAGGAAGGAAGAAAAAAGGAAGAATGAGGAGGATGTAGTTGGACACAGGTTACACTGTCAAGCCTGAACTGCCAGATAACGCAAAGGCAAATACAGAGACGACCCAAACTGCTACTAGTGAGCAACGTTCGAAGTTTCTAGCTGGTGACAAATGAACAGGCGCGTTCGACTGCTCGCACAGCAAATACTCGCAAATAGCATGGATCCGCCGCGGGGGATTTACGATCCATTACATATAGGAATACACATGCTTCGGACGTTCGCGAATAGGCACTTGCAGGACAGCGCTCGGTGCAGAACAGCGCGAAGTCTACTTGTGTAGAAGCCAAAAATACTGTCCTCGCACAGCCACTGGCAGCATCATTCCGACAGGCCGAGCTACACCCAACGACGCGGGCACACCCCGAGTCAGGCACCGAAGCCCCTGACCTAGCGCGCCCCCACGCCGATGAAGGTTTCACTCGTCCACCCGACGGGCAACTCCTGTTCGTCAAAATCTCAAGGCGGAGGGTAAGCCCGACACCGAACCTGTCGCTGGAGGCTGGACTCGCGAGTAAGGCAGGAAGAACCCAGAAGGCGGCAGCCAGTCCACTCACCCCGCGAGCATTGTCGGGCGACTGAACCGAGCCGCCCAACAAACTGCACCGAAGGAAGGGGCAGACGATGGCGCTGAGCCGTCCAACAAAACACCGACGAAGATTAACACTTGAGCGGTCTTTCAGCTCTTGCCATATACCCATGCAAAGGCGGAGAGGCACGGCTAACCATGGCCTTCAGCGCGCAGCTTCACACAGGACCATGGTAGAGACACCAATTGGACCACAGCACGCCAATCACAATTAGACTCATAATTGCCTGACTCGGGCGGACGTGTCGGCACAAGCAGACGCGCCGGCGCAGGCAGACGCATCAGTTGCTGGCGTGCCGGCACGAGCTAGTTTCAGCACGCTGCTAACAAGATGACTCGGGCTGGCGCGAGAAACACACTCCAACCACTCCGAGCTGGTTGACGGTCAAGACTCACACGTCGTCTCGGCCCAGTGCGCTGGCGCGCTGGCGCAGATAAGAGGGAGGCCACAGCGACACGGTCTCCATAGCGAAAGAGGTACAAGGGGCCCAGCAACCATGCTCGAAACTGACGGATTCAGCGAAGACGGATTGAAACAACGAACTCGCGGCATAAATCATCGTCCTCTTTCCATCCCTCCAATTCACACCATCTTTCCACATCGCATAGCGACTATGAGCAAGGCGGGTGGGATGCCAGCGAAGGAGGTTGGGTAGAAGACAGAAGAAAACGAAGAGAGGTGGACCTCAGCTCGACTCAGTGGTCCGAATTCTTGTCGTTATTTGTTTATCCAGCGCACGAGATTCGTTTTGTCTTCGTTTCCCAGAGCAAAATGAAGCCACAGATGAGGAACAAAAACGCGTCTCAAATGCAACCTCTTTGTTGCACCATACCGCGCACACCATGCCCCTGAACCCCGTTCAAAGCAGGAATGGACAGAACACGGGTAGCACTACATATGACGAATCAAACGCATCTCAAATGCAAACTCCTTGTAGCACCATGCCGAGCACTCCATGCCCCTGGACCCCTTTTTCAAAACAGGGAACAGCAGCACACGGGTGGCACTACAAATGAGGAATAATTTGCGACTAAAATGCAACCTCCTTGTTGCATTTATTTGTCTGAGGGCGGTGAAGCAGAGGCGGAGGAGGAGGAGAACAAGAGCGAGGCGAGGGAGACAGACAACAGCGCTGTGTGTGCATCCCATCGATGTCCAGCCGACTATTAATTAGACAGCACACAACGACAAGGTAAAGGACAGTGCACAGTTCAGTAAATCAACAAACGACCCTGCGGCGGCGCGGATGATAGAAAAACTACCCAAAATTCTATCGCGCATGAAGCGGAAGCAAGAAGGGAAGAGGAACGGGGCAAGAACGGGCAATATTAACGCCGGCTGGGCGGTGTATGCTAAAATGGGCGCAAGCACTCACCAATACTGTAAAGGGCATCGCTAAATGGATGAGGCACGGCAGTGCCCCGCAGCAACGGGCGGCGAAAGGGCGAGCCCCGGGCGGCACGAGCGGCCCGAGTGGTCGGCCAACCGCGGTCGTGCGCTAAGCCCACACACGCTGCCCGTGCACAAATTAAAGCGAGAGGCGGGGAGGAGGAGGAGGAGGACAAGGATAGGGGACGCGAACACTGGGGCCTGGCATGTCACGGAACCGGTGCGCGGCCTCACTGGGAGTAAGCAGGGCCTCCTCACCCGGGGCCTCAACAGCAGCAGCAGCATGAAGTCGCCGATGGAGGCGGTGTCGCAGATCTCCGTGCTGATGGACCCCAGGATGTGCCCTGAGAGCAGATCCTGAGGCTGCAGGGGCGCCAGCGACTGCAGCTGCTGGGGTGGGGCGTCGCTGATCGGCAAGCTGGTCGGCGCGGGAATCGGCTAGCTGGTCGGCGCGGTAGCCTGCGAGCAGGTCGGAGTGGGGTGTCGGTGAGCAGGTCAGTGTGGGAGTCGGTGAGCTGGTCGGCGCGGGAGCCGGCGAGCTGGTCGGGGACGGAGTCGCCAGAGTCGGTGCCGGTATCGATGCTGTTGGCGCTGAAGCGGGAGACGGCGCCGGCGTCGAGTGAACTGCATTATCCTGGCGAAAGACCCAACCATATGCAGTTGTGAGTGCCGCAATTGTGAGTACCTTCTTCGGTGGCGCTCCGTATGGGGCCCCACGAACCGCATGAGGGGTATGCCGAAATATGGCGGGGTACACAACGCAAAGGAATACGATAGGTCAGATTACGAAAGAATGAACGCGGGTGAGCCAGAGCGCGAGAGTCTGAGTGTGACTGGGTCTGCGCGGGAGTGAGTATATTTGCATGAATGCGATTTTGGCTACGCCTAGTGTAAATGTATATGAATGTGAATGGCTCGAGCATGCCTGTCCGAACACTCGTGACGCTGGGCGTGGCCGCCGCAGGCAGCTTCCGCGGGAACCCCGACGGCAGCGCCCGCGCGCCGCGACGCCCATGTCGGCACGCCCCTCGCGGGGATCGCACCCGCTTCCGCCCCTTCTTTTCCCCCCTCTTTGCCTACGCGCTCCAAAAATCCAAAGCTGCGGGCGCAGAGCAGCGCGGAGTCCCCGCGACGCGCGCAGGTCGCCGCGGAGGGGTCCCAGCGACGCGCGCAGGTCGTCCGCTGCGCGGAGCACAGAGAGCTAGCTGGCCGGCTGATTGCGGGCAAGGCTCCGGCCGCTGGGCAGAGCGACGACGGGCGAGCGAGGCGCTGAGCAGAGCGCCGCGCGGAATCCCCGCGACGCGCGCTGGTCGCCCCGAGAGGGTCCCAGCGACGCGCGCGGGTCGTCCGCGGCGCGAGGCCGAACAATTATGCGGGCAGTCGAGAGAAGGCGCGGCTCGGGGGGGGCGCTCCTCAGGTCAGGCCTCGCGGATAAACTCGGTGAAGCCGAGCTCCCTGGCGAGGGCCGTCGCCTCCCTCCTGCACCGCTTCGTGCGCGCTGCAAACTGCTCCAGCTGCTTTCGCAGGCCCTCCGGCGGTCCTGCCAGGAAGAACTCGAT